CATTACAAACTTACATTTAAAGCAAAGAAGTACATGAAAATCAGACAAAATTGTGTACTTGATGGCTTTAATGAGGTAAAGAACCCAGAACCACTGCCATTGACACAGTCAAACTGAAGAGAATGGATCTGTAAATGGAAAAAAAAAGTTCCGAACTCTTTCTAAAGCCAGAAAAACTGAATGATTTGGAGAAAGTATTTATTTAGGGAAGTGACAACGAGCCCGACTGACACTCTGAAAGAGCTCCAGCCTTTAAAAAAACAACAATCAACAGCATTTAACCAATTAGGCCTGTATGTAGAATGGCCAAACTCCATAACAGTCTGCTGGGGTTCGCCAGAAGGCACCTGAGGAACTCTTAGACCATAGGAAAATAAATCCTCTGATCTGATAAAACAAAGATTAAACTCCTTAATGCCAAGCTTCCTCACCAGGCCAATATCATTCACACAGTGATCATGGTAAAGCGACATCAGCTGTGATGATGCTTTCTTGATCATTAGTCAGGATCAAGGGAAAGATGAATACAGCATTGTACAGAGACATCCTTGATGAAAACCTGCTTCAGATCACTCTGGAAATGAGACTGGGGTGACGCTTCATCTTTCAACAGGACAGCGACCCTAAAATACAGCCAGTACGTCAATGAAGTAGCTATTGGAAGACTCAATGAATGGTCATGAGTGGCCCAGCCATAGCCTAGACTTGAACCTAATAGAGCATCTCTTGAAATCTGTATAGCAGACTGGCTTGATGGTTCATCTTTCAACATGACAGCAACCCTAAAAACATAATCATTATAACAAAGAAGTGGCTATGGAACAAATCTGTGAATGTCCATGAGTGGCCCAGCCAGAGCCCAGACCTGAACCCATTGAGCATCTCTAGCGCTCTGGATATCAGACTGGGTTGATGGTGCATCTTTCAAAAGGACAGCAACCCTAAAGAAACAGCCAGTACATACAAGAAGTGGCATTTTCATTCATTCATATATTCAATTTTCTTCGACATAGTTCCTTATTTATCTGGGTTTGCCACAGTGGAATTAACTGACAACTATTCCGGTATATGTTTTATGTAGCGGATGCCCTTCCAGCCACAATTTAGTACTGCGAAACACCCATACACTCTCACATTCACACACACACTCATACTGTAAGTGAAGTTTCACAAACTAATTTCGAGAGGAGCACGTGATATGATTGAGCATGACTGGCTTCTCATCTGTAATGTAAATGGATCGCTTTCTCCTTACTACTCTTACTTTTTCAACCCCATCTCCTCCTTTTCCTCCCTTTTCTAAGGGGGAACTCTCGGGAACTACCTGATCTCAGATCCCCTTATATGCTTATTGAGTGGGCGGGAGCCTTGGGCTCAAGTCTCTCCGAGCTCAGGGTTCTCTCCAGGGACAGCATGCCAAACCTGCTATAAACGCCAAGCATATCTAAGTGGGAACTCTTCAAAGCCAATTTAGCTTATTCGATTCACCTATAGCGCATGTGTTTGGACTATGGGGGTAACTGGAGCACCTGGAGGAAACCTACATGAACACGGGGAGAACATGCAAACTCCACACAGAAATGCGAACGCAATCTCACAGCAATTCGTAACTTTTTGATTTAGTGGCTATTTCGTATGAATTCATACGATTTAATTCGTACGATTCAGTACGATTTGCTCATCCCCTAATGACGGTTGCGGTTAGGGGTGGGGTTAGGTGCCACACCTCCTTTTTAAAAATCATACATTTTCGTACGATTGAACTAGTTTTTCGTATGATTGAACTAGTACAAATTCGTATGAATTAGCCACTAAACTGGCAAAACGTAAAATACTTACGTTTCCTCGTGAGATCAGGCTGGAAATGCCAACTGATCCAGCGGGGACTCAAACCAGCAACCATCTTGCTGTAAGACGACAGTGCTAACCACTGAGCCACCATGCCGCCCAAAACAAACCGTTTTTTTACCGTATAAAATACATTACATGTGTGTGTGTGAGAACGATCACTTTAAGATGAGGGAAACAACTGAATAATACAATGTATGACAAGTATTAAGTCTGAAATGTTAAGTCTGGGATTTAATAACTGTGAGGCTGGTGGTTTCATTACAATGGGAACAACCCGGACATTATAATTAAAGCTTCTAATTAAAGCCTCAGGGCACATTGAGATATTTATAATGCCAGCAATCTAGTCAAAACTGTATTCCTCATAATTGTGTTCTGGAGAGATGTAAGCCAAGGTTATTTTCTATTAGTGTTCAAGGCAAAAAAAAAACTCATAACAGCAATAATAAGCAGGTTTTCCCCTTAAGGCCTAATTCGGGGGATGTAGGTTTTGAAGATTTTGGCATAAAATGTCTAAATCACGCACATAAACTGCTCAAATGCCAAAGCTGGGTGTTTAAGCCAGGAGTTGCTGATGGAGATAAACACATTTGATTGAAAGTGCTGCTAAGTCCAATATCTCCAAAGGCCCAAATGAAGTGCTCAGACGGCGAGTGCATAAACTTTGCCGTCTTCTTCTTCTCAGCATATTTGGAGAAAGTTCTCTGGGGGGAGTTAGATGAGTAGAGCTGGAACGCATTTCAGGCCCGAGGATGTTAGGAGCCAGATTGGCACCGGAATGGGACGGCACTGGCACGGAGACAGTGGACAAACAGATTCTCAGCGTTGAAGACCACCGCGAGCGGAAAGAAAAGGCAGGTGCGGCTTAGCGGCGTGTCAGTCAGTTTTCCCAAACAGCAGCAAAATGCGGTGAAGTGGGAACGCTGCCCACGCGCTGGGACAGAAAGCCCATACGGACCGAAAGATAAAACAGGCCACGGGCGGAACGGCGGCGGGATGGGGCTTATGACAGCCGTGTGGGGGTAGCGGGACGTGGGTTTGTGCTGCTTTGTATTCATACTTTAGGCTACGAAATGTCACTGTTACTTAGTTATGAGACTTGGGGCAATGGAGCAAATGTTTTCTGTTAAGTTTTTTTTGTCTCAGCGATTATGAATGTGTGTTAAAGAACAGCAATAATAAGCAGGCTTTACTCCTGCAGTCATAATCCAGTGATGTAGAGTTGCTGTGTGGCAGCAGGATTAGAATAACACAATACATATGGAGCCCTATCAGACACGCACAAGGCAAGTGTTTTTTGGGTAGTTTCAGCCCGGCGCAGGTATCATTTTCATGATTTGTGCAACATTGTTTAAATAATTAGAAATTTTAAAGGTCAAGTCAATCTAATTGCTTGCCAATGTAATGTGTTGATTAGGGAAACTCGGTTCTTTATCGGTATCGATGCTACATTATAAAAGACCGAAGTATCAATTAGCTCTGACATTAACGGTTCTACTACCGGTACTGGAGAATTATTGCTGAATAAACATTACTTACAGTAGCATAATTATACAGACCAAACCTTTCTAATTTGCGATATTTGATATTCGTCCGGCGACTGTGTCAAGTATAAAAGCCTTCACAGTTCTCGTAAGCTTGCAGAGTGAACCCAACAAGCTGTATTTCCTGAGTAGACATCTACAATGCCTGCTGCAACATACACTGTTTTCTTGTATAAGCGGAAACGCAAGCAATCTGGCTAAGTGAAAGTATCTTCGAAAAGTGCATTAACTGTAATGCAAAGTTTTGATTGCCTAGCTACTAACGGTAACGTTACATCATCCACATCGTTATGACAGCAGTCAATCACCTAAATTAGTATAATATTAATAGTTAAATAAACACACACATTGGGTTACAATGAAAACAGTTCGGTTAAAATGAAAAAAAAAGTATATATATATATATATAGGAATATTTTAATATTTTGGCTTTTATGTATTTAAAAATATAAATATATAACCATATATCCATATAAAAGAAGCTGTTGACATGGAATTGAACCAGATACAAATGTAAAAAAATGAGTTGTGTGTGTAATAACAATAAATGATGCAAGAGGAAAGTGCTGAACTACTGAAATGTGTTTAATACTTTATATAAAAGGCTTGTTTGGTGATGGCAGCTTAAAGACGCCTCTCATTTGGAGAATGAATTCACATGCATTGCTCAGGTGTGATTTTCTCACAGACTTCAACAGAGTGTAACAATCTTGACGATTCTGTGGGTCTCGTCTGTCAAATCTTTATTTGTATTTTCTTTTGGATTCAGGTCAGGTGATTGGCTGGGCCATTCTACAGCTTTATTTTCTTTCTCTGAAAGCATTTGATAGTTTCCTTGGTTCTGCTCTGGATCATTATCCTGCTGAACTGTCCAATTCAATTCAATTCAGCTTTATTTGTATAGCGCTTTTACAATGTAGATTGTGTCAAAGCAGCTTCACATAAATGGTCATAGTAACTGGAACAGTGTAGTTCAGTTTTTATTGTTTAAGTTCAGTTCAGTGTGATTCACAGTTCAGTGACTGTCCACCCTGGTTACATCTTCATCCTCCTGATCAGCTGATTTTCATTTACATTGAGGAAGGGCAGAGGGTTGCTGAAGTACTACTGAGAGATTTCAGCTGCTGTCTGGGCTTTCACTGCCTTTCCAAACCCCTCTTTCTTCATGTGTTCAATACTTTTCCCTGCATCATTTATTTGTAAACTAATTAGTTTTGTTTTCTCTGCATACAGTATTTGACTTTTTTAGCTGTTACAGACATCCAATGAAAGTCAACAGCACCTTTAGAAATATGTTTTTTGAGAACAATTGTCATGTGTTCAATACTTATTTCCTCACTGTGGGTGTGTGTGTGGGTGGGTATATATATATATATATAT